TCATAAGACTAATACAATAAGTTTCTGCGTTTTTTTAGACTTTTGATTTTCTTTCTTTCTGTGTGATGACTTAAAGACGGTCGAACACTCACACACAACTTCTCTGGAGACTTTACCGACATCTTTACTTTTTTTATTAGTCTTTAATGAAAGTAAATGTCACTTCAAACGATTACGGATAGACAAACGTGGACGTGCCATTTGAATGTATAATGAGAAAAATAATTTATAAAAGTATATAAGTAACATTAAAAGATAACTCTATATACGAATACTGAAAAAGTAGTGAAACGTTAGCAGATACAAACCAGATTGTACGATAGTAATGTTATTGTCGTACGTAACATGAATAAATTAGACATAAATGAGATTTTCGTCTCACGTGCAAAAGATACGAAACGTACACGTTAAAGACGTTACACTAATAACGAAACCCGTACCACATAATATATGTGATGTGCGTGATTACTTGATTTACATCGTTTTGATGTCCATTTGTAAAATAAGACCTACTCCTTAGTCGTAACTGTAACCCCGTAGGAGACAAAGTGTACGTCCGGGTGGGTCCCCCGCGGGTGTACGGAGTTAGACGTCCGTTTGTCGTCCCCCGCATTCACTCCTGACTCTACTATACCCGCTACGAGGTCAGCGCGCGTGCGTGCGTGCCGTACGTGCGTGCGGTGTACGTGCGTGCGTGTGTGGTGTGTGTGTGGTGTTTGTGGTTGTGGTTTGTGTGGTTTGTGTGTTTGTGTGTGTGTGTGCGTGTCTCGTCTCTCTCTCTCTCTCTCCTCTCTCTCTCCTCTCTCTCTCTCTCTCTCTCTCCTCTCTCTCTCTCTCTCTCTCTCTCTCTCGCCCAAGCTCTACACTCAAAAAAAAAATCTCTCTCTCACTCTCTCTCTATACTGTCGTCTGTCACCGCACGATGAGAGACACACACAGACCAACGTCACCAATAATTAGTCAGTTTACCTAACACTGCGATTTGCGACATTGTAAAGAGACGCAGGTGGCCGTTAGTAAATCCTACAGACATACCTGAAGAAATGTCCGTCGTCACACACGTAATGATTTTGGAGAAAGTCAAAACCACCTTACAGCTTACATATGACAAAAGACCATTTACATGTAAAATATTTAGTGACATCTTACACTCATATTAATATTTGTAGATTAACAAAAATATAACCAATACATTAAGCAAACCGACACATTATTATTCATGTAAAATATCCGGATGATGATTATTCATAATAAGAATCAACAGCGCATAAGAATGGTTCTTGTGACAAAAAAAACAGGAGCATTTAGGAAGGTAGTCCTGGACATACAGACTGGGACAATATGGACACGGACAACAGAGGACAACACTCAACGAATTCCTTTTTTCTGTACACAATATCAGTTACTCAGTAAGAGAAGATGGATTTCTTTTTGAAGAAGTTAGTTTAAAGTGACCTATCATGCTATATTTGAATAATATAGTGTAGGACCATACCTATATAAGGCATATTCATACTTTTTATTTTTCAAAATACCAAACAGATCATGCATTTTAGCCATTCCTCATTTCGCTCAATTTAACACAGTCTTTGCATGGGCTGATTCTGTGAGAACAGCACCATCTACAGGCCTGGCATATGTACTACAGCGTCTCCAGCGCTTTCCAACGGCAATGTCCGTGGCTGTCTCCTCCTGATTGGTGGAGTTGGCCCAATAGCCGTAGCGCCACTTCTGTGACGTCATAGAGGTGTTCAAATCTGGATCAGTCTGTATCAGATCCGTTGCAGCCCCTTTTTAAGAGATTTGGGTATGGAGGAAAATAGAGAGGGTTGTGTTTCCTGACACTTGGTGAGTTCCCTGGAACACCGGGGACACATATTCATGTATACAAGATGTACAAAAGTGCATTTTGCATGATAGGTCACCTTTAATGCAGCGTTTTGCACATACTATTGAAACATCATGTCGGTAGTCTTCAACGTCGTCCTTCTGAAGGAGGAACTTCCTCAGGTGTTAATCCTCAGAACTACGAGGTGCCCATCATCACACGATAACAGAATGTGGTGAACATTAACTGTCTCATACTTTGGAATAAATGATCGTGCTTGTGGTTAAAATAGGCTTTCTGACTGAACTCACACACACACACCATTTCCTGCAGTCAGGCCAGTTTATATGAAACACATGCCGGTTCCTTTTCCTGTATAGCAAACATATTAAAATGATATGTTTGTATGGGTTCTTCTTCTGTCCAACACAAACAGGCCTGATGAATACAGCTGGTAAAAGCACTGAATATGCCATCGTTCAGGCATCGTTTTACCAGAAGCCAAGTTATCAGCAGAGGTCTCCTACTCTCTAAAACAAGCACACCTACTTATTAAAGCTCAAAAACACAGAATAAGGCAGTTTCTTGTTAAAGATTTGAGTTTCCCCGGTTAACCCCAGGTTGTTTCAAGATGTCCGATGACTTAAATCCCTTAAAGTTCAAAACCATCAAGCACGAAAAACTGCATGGGAAATCCTAGGTGTATTAGTTCTCTTAATCCAGAAACGTTACATAATACTGGATATATTTCCCTTGCTTCATGACATTTGTATTCACTATATTCCACTTCTAGTTGTAAATGTTGTGTGTCTACTATCCCATTGTTCAGGAGTTTCTTTTACCACATGCTGAGTTATCAGCTGAGGTCTCCTACTCTCTAAAACAAGCAGACCCAGTGATTAAAGCTTAGAAACACAGAATAAGGCAGTTTCTTGTTAAAGATTTGAGTTTCCCCGGTTAACACAGGCCTTAGGGAATACAAGCTAAAGTGTGCTCAGGTTGTTTCAAGACGTCCGATAAATCTCTCATCCGGTTAAAATATACAGTTCAAAAGCACCAAAAACTGCATGGGAAATCATCGGTGTATTCGTTCTTAGACATCTTAATCCAGAAACGTTACATAATACTCGATATTTCACTTTCTTCATGACATTTGTATTCACTATATTCCACTTCTAGTTGTAAATGTTGTGTGTCTATCATCACTGAGTCTGTGCATATACTTTCTTACTTTGTATAATATGTGATTCCTTATATTACATACTACATGCGGATACCCAGATCGAGTGTTATATCTCCTTTCCTTTGTTCCTTCAGATTACTTGGTGACTCTGCCTCATGTCCAGAAGTATCTGCTGTCAGTTCGCTACATCGAGGAACTCCAGAAGTTTGTAGAGGATGACAACTTCAAGTATGCTAACCAAGACATCCCCTAAAAACTCGGTCAACCTTCACTGTATTCTGCATCCTTCCCTGACTGTAATCAAACTGACGAAACCCTTTGTGTTGCAGGCTGTCTCTAAAGATTGAACCTGGCAACAGCTCCCCTCGCATCGCTTCCTCTAAAGAAGACCTGGCAGGTAAGACACACACTGGCCGTTTCTCAATCGCGAGGAAACTGGCTTCCAAGCCAATATTTCAAGGATGCTACGCCATCGAGTGCCGCCGAAGGACTGTTCCAATCTCCAGCATACTTGGAATTCCACCGAGGCCGCGTCCTTGGTTTGGGGGTAATTTCGAGGCTGCACATGGGTAGACTTTGGGTCCTTCAAATCCCCACAATGCTTTGCGCACGGACCAATTTCCCCAAATCTGTGGCGGAAAATGTAAGGCGGGGCCTCTCGTATGACGCACACACACCTGCACACTTACTAGCCTGTTCCACTCTTCGTTTTCCGAATGCCAGGAAGGATTCTTGCCTAGCTTCTGAAGGAAGTGACTCGGAAGACATGTGCTACCAAGCAAGCATCCTCACGATTGAGAAACGGCCCCAGATTAAAAACTCTGCGGTTGTTCCTCCATTGTTTATTGGAATCACCTATTTTGTTTTTATTAATACTATTTTAGTTTAACTGTCACAGCAGTACAGACAGAATGGACTCGAACGCAAAATCAGAAGCAGGGAGAGTCAAAGAACAGGTTTACACAAACGTCAGGTAAAATACATGTCGTTAAAACGAGTAACAAAAGCTCAAAGCAACAAAACAAACAAAGACAAGAGGAAAAAGGCACTGGGTGGATCTCTGTCTCTTAAGTTACCTCCACATTTACCCAACATGTGAGTAGAGAAGAAGATAAACGACCACAGCTGACCACAGCCAATCACAGCAGCTAACCCAGTCTCACTGCAGCAATATTTCATAATCATAATGTTATAATGTTAGCTGGGCGGAGGTGACGTCCAGTGCCCAGTTTGGAGCTTTCTAGCAATGAGGAACTGTAGATCTTATCTACTTGAAGACTGTCCAAGAGTCCGGTTTATTAATATAGATATTGAAGAGGGTAGGCTGGTTTGGATGAGTGTGTAAGGTGTAAATATGGACGGATGTTTGTTGGTTGGGTTAGAAGCCATCATGGATTTTATATCGGACGTTTTGATGAGACTTTAGGATGCTACAGAAGTGTTTACTGAGGTTCCCTCTATAATAACAGTTGTCAAAATGGTTAAATACGGGAGAAATCAGCAGAGGTGGAAGAAGTATTCAAATGCTTTACTTAAAAGTACCAATACATTAGTGTCAAAATACTTCATAACATTGAACGTCATGCATTCAAAATACTTACTTACCTAAGTAAAAGTACTATTAACACAATGTGCTTAAGGTATACAGGTATAAAAGTAATTATTGTGCAGAAGAATGGCTTTTATGTGTATATAATTATATTTATATATGTGACATGTCTACATAACATTGTTGCATCAGGTAGCATTTTACTGTTGATGACAAACAAAGTAAAATATGTAAAGAATTTGACTCTTTTGTGAATTAAAGAGGTGCATTTTTAGATATGCATTGTGTGCAAGTTGCTAAAGCTGTTATTATATTGTTCCTCTTTTTAAATGTAGTGGAGTAGAAGTATAAAGTAGTACTTAATGGAAATAAGTTAAGTTCAAGTACCTCAAAATTGTACAGTAATTGAGTAAGGGTACTTTGTTACTTCCCACCTCTGGATATCCTGGTTCCAGTAACAGGGACATGTCCCGTTTTGATTTCCAATTTGAAACGTTTTATGAAGTATTAAGAACAGGGTGCTCTTCTGCTGAGCGTGCAGAATGCTAGCTTTAGCCACCATGAACTAGCGTGTGTCTTAACGAGCTAATAGTGGATTGATTAAGTCGTTGTGAGGCAGGGGAACTCATTATCACGGGTTCCTGTAATTCCACTTTGCCACATATGCTTCGTGATTACCAAATGGCGGTTGAGTAAACTTTTTCCTCTTGTCTGTGGGAAAGGTTCTAAACAGAGAACATTCCTTAGCACATTATCAGTTTCCCCACGAAGCTAGCCAGCAGACACAATCACATGCAGCTGTGTGTGTGTGTGTGTGTGTGTGTGTGTGTGTGTGTGTGGGGGTGGGGGTGTGGGGGTGTGGGTGTGGGGGTAGGGGTCGGAGCTTTTCGGAGCACTTCCTAGTCGACATGAGGTTCATGGTACTTTAAAAAGACCTTGATATGTCACTTATTTCCTGCATCAAGGCCCCTTCATTTGCAACATCAACATGATTACACACATGCACACATGCACACACACACACACACACACACACACACACACACACACACACACACACACACACACACACACACACACACACACTGCTATGGACAGTTTTGCACTACTGTATATATTTGTACTACTGTTTTTCAAATGTAATTGTTTAGTAAGTCGGTGTGATTGTTTGTGTGTTCCAGGTCTGTCTGAGGTGTCGGCCTCCATGAGGTACAGCCGGCGGCCCACCTGCCCTGACACCTCTGTGGGGCTTCGGATCCCCACCCCCCCGCCCTCTCACCACAGGAAGAGCCATAGTCTGGGGAATAAGTGAGTTGTATTCAGGATCTATCTAACCTTATGTTAAAGTCTGACCTGCACACTCTCAGTTAGGAAGTGTCTGATGAGGTGAAGAACACGAGCACTACCACGTGTGTCTTCCTCATCATCTCTGTATGCTTGTAAAACATTTTTATTAAACAACATGTTATGCTTAGAAACAGTTACTTCCCAACACAGAACTACAGCAACAACAATACTAAACAAATGAAAAGGGGGCATAAAAACGACATTATACTAAACCTGTCCAAAATGTCTACAATGTTGTATGCACTTTAACACCAGGAGGAGTACAAGATGTTTTAGTAATAATAATAATAATAATGCATTACATTATTTATTAGAGCACTTTTACAGGTGCTCAAAGCGCTTTACAATTACACATTACACATATTAGACATGTAAGAGTCATTACATTTTAGTACAACTTGAAGTATTTCCCCTACCTCTATAGTGTATTCAATATTTATACTAGAGTGGTTATACCTACTATGCTCTAAGGTCGTATTTATATACTTACATTATGCATACAGACTGCACATTGTAATGCTTCTCTCACAAATTTTAGCTGCATTTCTGCATTTCGTTGTCCCAGTACTCTGTGCAACAATAAAGTGGAGTCTGATCTAATTTAATAAAGTGTGTGTGTGTGTGTGTGTGTGTGTGTGTGTGTGTGTGTGTGTGTGTGTGTGTGTGTGTGTGTGTGTGTGTGTGTGTGTGTGTGTGTAGTATGATGTGTCAGTACGGCATGTCAGAGAGCAGGAGCGCCACGTTTCCCATCGAGAAAGCCCGCCACCTGCTGGACGACAGCTTCTTAGAGTCCAACAGCCCGGCCAGGAACGACCCGTACAGCAACTCTGTGTCCAACGGCCTGTCCATGGGTACGATATACTGTATACCATTATCACTGTGGTTATTATGTGCATCACAAATACAGCTGTGTAGGAAGAAAAACATGTATTTTATCTATACGGTGAGTGTGTGTGTGTGTGTCTTTATGCTGCATGAATAACTTTAACCCTTATTTTCTCTAATATGAAGTTTAGTTTTTCTTAAAATCTTTTTATTTGTTTTTTGCAGACATGGCACTTTCAGCACATTATACAAAATACAGACCAATTTGTCTGTTGAAATGAAGTCTTAACAAAAGTTTTCTTCCAAACTCTTTCACTGTTATGTTGTATTTACAGGTGACTTATCAGCTTTTTTTCTCACAAACTTCAGACCTAAAGAATATAAACTTGTCCTGTGTGTTTTTTTAAATAAAAGGCAGCAGTGAAAGCTCTTTTGGGGAGGAGCTGTCTCCTGGAATGGAGAGGTGAGAGCAAAACATCACATATAAGCATTTTAATCCATCTTTGAAATGACAAATGAATATATAGTACACTGAGGAGTTCTGCTAATACTCTCTGACCATGTGTCAAACAGGGGCCGCATGTACGCCACACTGGGCCCCAACTGGAGGGTCCCTCTCCGAAACTCCCCCCGGAACCGCAGCTATGTTTACAGGTCAGTGAGAGGGAGAGTTCTTTAAATAACAATGAGTTCAGTGTGTTTTACTTACCTCATCCGTCATTTTTGACTCTACTTACTGAGCTGTAGATTCCACTTACTAGCTACGGGTACATGAGTAAACTATTCTCCTACATCTCTACATTTTCAGTTCACAAATGAAAAAAAATCTAAAGCAGATAAAAACTGCTAGAAATGTTTAAAAAAAAAATCACGTTTTAAAGCATATCAGAAATGTGATGCTAGTTTTTAGCAATACATACATTTTCACTCAAAGGTGGGGTAGGTACGTTTGAGAAACCGGTGTCGGTACCATATGTGTTCGGGGTACCATATGTGTTCGGGGTCCGTCTCTTACCAACGCATTGTGACGCGCTAGGAGTATGGGAGTACTTCCATTCGCTTCGTCTTGGTCTGTAGATGTGATTTGATGTGTCGTGTGTCCTCCAAAAATAACAATCGACAGTGTAAACATAATTATGTAAATAACCCAATTTGTGTTCTGTGACACGGAAAAGGATTTTACATTGTTTTTGTTACTTTCGCTGCAGTGTCTTAAATGTAATTTAGGTTAACTTCCTGGAAACAACATGATGGAGAAAAAAGTTATATCTTCTACATATAATAATGGACAAAGAAGAGAATTAAGTGTAGGCTATGTTTAAATGTTCGGAATTTGACCGTGTATGATGGTCCTCTTGAGTTGCCGTACAGCCACTGCTCCATTTTCGGAGACTTTGCACACGTTTTTCACAAACATTTTCACACACTAGGAGTATGGGAGTACTTCCATTCACTTCGTCTTGATCTGTGGATGTGATTTGCCCCCGAGCACCCCTGGGTAAATTACCGTACAGCCAATCACAATGCATGACGTCATTGGTAAGAGACGGATCCCGAACACATCTGGTACCGACACCGGCTCGAGATACACTTTTTGTTATATTCCTTGGAATGCTCTCAACATCCCGATAGCAATGAATACATTAAGTGCTTTGACAATAAATACATAAACAAATGTCATCTGTGGAAGCCGTGGCGCTGTAAAAAGCACGACCAATCATCTGAGCCGGCCCGGCTAAAGTAACTGGATGGCCTACCTGCCTGTCAGCCTTCCATCTGTGCACAAACTTATCTCGTGCCCTCATTGGTCATGTGCGCGTTCGTGTGTGTTGGAGGAGGGGCTCTGTAAGGAAGTTGCACATTTTCTCCGGTTGTGTATTTTCAAATTGTAGCGCACTCGAGCTGGTTTCTCCAAAATGACCTACCCTACCTTTAATATAATTACTTATTGTTATCACGTCTTATTGAAGATTCACATGTCTGTATGTGGCCCATAATGAAATGTAGCGCCCTCTGCATGTTGTTTTTAGTCCTATATTAGTTGTGAGTATATTAACTCGACTAGAGTCAATACGGATTGACTATATGTTCTAAGGATATATAAATAATAATATAATTTGAACCAGACATGCTCCTACTTTTTGTTCCATGGTTATCTGTAACAAGACTTCCTGGATCCTCCTATCGTAAAACATTTGATGCTAAAGTAACATTGTCCTTATAGCGCATAAGGCTTCTTCTTATGTTGTATTGTGTTTGCATCTCTTCTCCACTCTCCAACAACGTCAGCTCGTCCGCGGCCAACTCCTGCTACGGCTGCAGCGAGGAGGACAACGTGACTGTTGAAGGACCGCTGAGGAGGAAGACCCTTCTGAAGGAGGGGCGCAAACCCAAGGTACATTTAGATTTCACTGAGATTCAAGCGACTTCTCTCGAATACGGTTGACTATGTGAACAAAGAAACATACATACACATACCACCTTTACAGCTCACGTCAAAACATGGTGCACTGAGAACTACACCTGCACACACTAGTCTGACATGGTGTGTGTGTTACATGTTGTGACCATGGATGTAGTTTCTGTTGTGTGATTGTGACGTGTTATATGTGACATGTATGTAGGAACGTTTGCATTGTATTGTTCTCTTTTTATTCTTTTGCCTGTATCTACTTGTCTTTCATCCTTTCTTCATAACTAATGCTGTTCAGTGTTTTCCCACAGAATTTGACGTTCTTGTTGCTCTGATTTTCGTTGTTAATTAGTGAAACACACCGGAGTTGAGGATCTGTGGGATTTATTCTCCTAAAAATATAATTTACAATTTACAATTCAGGCATTTAGCCTTATTCCAAAGCGATTTACAATGAATGACCAATTACAGGGACATTCTCCCTGGAGTAACCGAGGGCTAAGTGCCTTGCTCAAGGGCACACTAGTAGTGATGTTCCAGGCAGGATTTGAACTCGCAACCTTCCGATCATCAGCCCACCTCACTATCCATTAGACCACCAAAAAAGAAAAAAAAAAGAATTTTTTTTTTTTTTTTAAATAATAATAATTTTTGGGAAACACTGCTCTTGATGTGTTGTGATTTAAAAAAGGTGTCTTTTATCATCTGGACAACAGCTGGAAATTAGCAATGTCTAAAGCTGCTCCATTTGCTGTTTTGTGTGACAGTTGATCAATGGGGGCTGTCCACGACACTATAAACAAATCAATTAAATACATTTTCTGACAAAAGTGAGTGAGATGTTTTCAGAATCATACTGTATGTTTTTGTTTTGTCGCAGTTGTCTTCGTGGACCAGATTCTGGATCACTCTGTCTGGATCAACTCTGACTTTCTTTGGGGCCAAAGCTCTGAGGGCCTCTGAGAGAAAACATGTGAGTTTGCTTTCATGCCTTTTACAGTCCTTTAGACTTAAGACCATAAGACTGTTAAACACCTGAACTAGAACATCCAGAACAATCACCTGTTTGCAACTTACAAATGATGTATCACTTGTATATAGACTCTTATTGCACTATTTCTATTCTATTTTATTTGTATTTTACTTTCATTTCATATCAGTACCACTCACCCCTCGGCATTCATTCAGACACAGTGTGTGTAGTTCTGACCTCTGTGCTCATGTCTTTGCCCCAGTATAAGTCCAGCCCCTGTAAGAAGGTGTGTGTGACGGGGTGGATGGTGGTGCTGCCAGACAACCCGGCCAGACCCAACATCTTCCAGCTGAACGACCCCGACAAAGGTCAGCTCCCCCCCCCTCATACAGCTCCTGCTCCTTCCTGTGTCCATCAGAGAATCACAACTTGTGTCTCTTCACAGGAAATGTTTACAAGTTCCAGACCGGATCCAGGTTCTCAGCCATCATCTGGCACAAAAACCTGGAGGAGGCGTGTCGGAGCAGCAGACCTCAGGTAGTTTAACACACACACACACACACACACACACACACACACACACACACACACACCTTCCACTATTACACTTATTTCTCACTTTAAATGAGGTGTTTGCAACTTATTCTTAATTGACATTTAAAGACATTAATTACAAGATGTTGATATGGGCAACGTGTCAATGATGTATGTAGTGGGTTACATGTTATAGGCATTTACAAAGTTTGTAGTCCATTGTTTAATATTATTTTATATATTCATCATATCAAAGTTGCAGTGCAGACGGCAAATAACAACTTCTTCAGCAATATCTTGCCTTTAAGAAAAGATCCAGGGTAAGCCCAGAAATATAGAGGTGTCAGTCATCCTCTTTTACTCTCCCAGCAACATTCCTGTTCCTGTTCAACGTTAAATATAACAAAATAACTTTAAATCATATGTTCACCAGACACATGACTCATTATGGAAGCTGAGGTTGCTCTGTATCTGCTGAATATATATACTGTATACAGGTTTGCCAAAAGAGCCTTATATGGTCATGATATAGCAATGTTGCATTAATATTTTGTTGCAAATGGGACAAAAAAACAAAAACTTCAAATCGAAAAGTAAAAGCCTACGAATATTTGAGTTATTTGTTAAACTTTGGATGCATTTTTTCCCCCAGCCTAATTGTCCAATTCCGTAGAATCTTATGCCTCCATGACTGCATTACTAATGGATTTTATTTATTTGTATGTCTGGTCGTAGCACTTAAAAGGTTTGGCTTATTTGACGCTAATCTATCTGCAGCACTCTAGCTGTCCTGAGGTAGTATCCTCATGGTTAATTGCACTTATTGTATCTTTGGGCTGAATCATCAGGGAAATGAAAAAAAATTATGTACAAATGTTTTTTTCCAATTCTTACAAATAAGAATATATAATATATATTAAATATTTATGCTCTTCTTTCCAAAGATACCAGCAAACCTCATGTCATTTGAATGAGAGCAGACTCCAACCAGCGGGACGTTAATGTGCCAAACTCATGGGGTTTGGGAAGCAGAGACTCAAACATGGACCCCAGTGGAGAGATGAAGAAGTGATGAAGAAGTGATGAAGAAGTGATGAAGAAGAAGTGATAGAGAAGTGATGAAGAAGCTGGATACGTGACTGTGTACGCCAACACCTGCTTTCTTTCTTTACCAGGACTAAATTAAATGTGAACTGTGGAGACATTGAGTGAATGGAGGACTTTGTTATGCTGCTTAAAACATGTGAACAGCGTATGTTTTTTGGCCCATGTTGGGTTTCTGTTTGGGGGAGTATGAGGAGCAGACCAGTGTTATACAGCCTCTCCATGGAGCTCGGGGCTTTAACACAGAATCCCCTTACCACTTTTAATCGAGTGGATACATTTGTGAATCTATTTCTGCATTTCATCATACCGGGAAAGAGTAGGAACCGACACGCATCCCAAACTGGTGAACCGACGGAAAATGTGACGGTTTTCTTACCACGGTGGAAAAGCAGAGGAGAGAGAGGAGTCTTCATCACCTTCAGCCCTGTGACTTAAAGACTGAACATGTTCCTAAATCGTAGAATTAGTAGTCGTACGTAAACACTAGGGAAGCATGAAGAGGGCTTTTAGAGCCTGAAGGTCACTCACCCCCCCCCTTCCCCCGCTACCTCAGCTGGTAGTCCTCCTGTTCAACAAGGTTTACAAATAGCAACGAGTCACATTTTCTACAGAACAAATCTCGACACCAGGTGATCATTACAATCAGTAGCCAATCAGAGGAGCCAGCTGTTTCTAAGCAATGAAGTACAACACTTTGGGTGGGTGTAAACACTGTTTTTATTTGTAAAAGAGTTTATTTTTTGACAGTTGGCCATAAAAGGGAAACATTATATTCGATTCACCAATCTAACACTTTGTTTGAAACTCAAAATGAAGGAAGACGTTGGTAAATAACCTGCTTCAGAAGCAGCATTGCATTTTTTTTTTTAAGAGTAATCGTTTATCACAACTTGGATTTCTTTTTGAAGAAGTTAGAGAGAGAGAGAGAGAGAGAGAGAGAGAGAGAGAGAGAGAGAGAGAGAGAGAGAGAGAGCGCCAACACATTGTAAGTGAAAGGGGCGGGATATATCTAAGCGGTTGACAAATCACAACAGCTAACCAATCGGAGCAGACTGGGCCCTGGTTTCAGACGGAGGGTGAAAAGAGGTACAGGCAGTATGAGAGAAATAAAGAGCTTTTTAAACATTAAAGCTAGGAGACATGTCACAGAAGAGGCGCTACATACTGATATGAAACTAAAAATAGGGCCTCTTTAAGATTAACAACCTTTAAGGATGCATCGGGTAACAAAGGGGTTCAAGATAATCTGATTAATATGTTGGTTTGTTTCCAATCTATCTGATGATATGAAGCAAAGATCCCAGTTGTGATAAACCTGAATGGTCCTTTTAAGAGTAGAAACATTTCAATGGAGAAGAACTAATTAACTAATGCCATATTTCTAATGTTTCCCTGTTGTAACTGTCAGTCATTTATTTAAAATATTGCAAAAAGAAGATTGAGAAACAATTACAGTACTTGTCAAGTGTAATCATGTTGTAAATAATTTCATAATTTTGATGTTTTTCATTCATGTATTGTCCTTGACTTAAAAAAAAAAAAATGTGGACTACTTTTAACTAACTAGTCCAAATGTTGTGTGATTCAGTCATGAAGGTTTAATATGAAGAGGACCACAGCTGTGATTAAGCCCATTCAATACAAGTCATATCATTTATAGAACAGCTCATTTCGGAAAATCCATTAGCAGACCGCTGAAACTTGCCTATTTTGATTTATCGGAGTGTGTATGAAGGGTATAAATTGCAGAAAAAATTGAATTGCGTAACCCGAAAAAAGTCTTTGCTAATTAATAAAAAAAATAACAATGGAAACCAATGGTTGCTGGGGAGAAAACACACCATGTGGTCCTTTTTAAACCACAGCACATTGTGAAAGTAGAATATCATTTTCATCCTGTAAAATAGACCACACTTTACACTCATCACCTGTGAATTACTGAGCCTGTGTTTTGGTTTTTATTAAGTATTGTACTATTTTATTATTGCAGACGAGCTGAACAAGGTGTACTGCATTGATGGGTATTACTGCATTACTTTTACGATGAGTGTAAACAAACATGTTGCCGTCACGTCACTTTGCTGTTGATGTACACTTTATTCAACGTTTTTTATTTCACACGCTATTTGAAGACTACCACTTCAGTAAATATGTATAATTAAAGAAACAGTTGAACATGTTGGGGTTGTAGCACATGCTTGTTTAATATCTTAAGACTCTGAAGTGAAATTCAAATTATTTTATCTGTCCAGTATAAACTGTATCACGTATACTACGTTTTTAGGTCCCAGTCAGTGGTAGTTGTGATACTTTAACTATATTTTGATGATAATACTTTTCTACTTTTACTTGAGTAACATTTTGATTGCAGGACTTTTACTGTAACAGAGTATTCCTACACTCTGGTACTTCTACTTTTACTCAAGTACAAGATCTGAGTACTTCTACTTTTACTCAAGTACAAGATCTGAGTCCTTCTACTTTTAATCAAGAACAAGATCTGAGTACTTCTACTGTTAGAAATTAAAATCAATGTTGATATGGCGTAATTTGAATTAAATACACTATTTGATTTAAATCAGTTTTATTCTGAAAAACCGGAAGTTCTCACTATTAGCTTAACACTTTTATTCTGAAAATTCGTCACTTCCGGTTAGCATTTAGCATCTGGCGGAATCATACGATTTCAAACCTTGAACCAAGGTGAAATGACATGTGATGTTGCACACTGAGCACACTGGGATTAGCACTCATTTATTGACGCTGAATAATGTGTAGCAGGGAATGTTTAAATAACCACAGACGCCAGAATGATGCAATTTAGCTACAGAAAAAGGCAGGAATTGCATTGGACCCGCCCCCCGACAACGCCGGCCAATAGGAGAAGACCTCAGATGACAACAGGAAGAGCAAGCCAAGAATTGAGCGCTTCGACCCCCTGACCTGAACTGACCGGTCG